GGGCTGACGCTAATGTGTTCTGAAGATGATCTTCAAGAGGATGGCTTCTCTGAGTGCTTCAAATTTGACTCCACACCTCCTCGAACGGCAGTGCTGCGACGAACTCCATCTCTTGAAGACTCTGAGTTCTCTTCCTCTGCTGCCACTGTCAATGCCAGAGTAATCGAGGATGACCACGATGCTACTTCACCGCCGCCTCCTTTAGCATGCTTCGACACTGCTCCAAGCTCTTCTGCACCGCCAAACACCACCGACGACCCTGCTGCTTCACCTACTCTTCATGGGAACGAGTAGGTGCTCTATGTCTTCGAACCTTTTTGGTCCTTACTGACAAAAGGGGGAGAAGCATATGCGTTTGATAGTCTTCAAGCGGGTCCATATGGGCGGATGCTTTATATTTTGCTTCGTGTTTACAACTCTCGTTTTTGATACATTTGGTTCTTTGAGTTGTAACACTTAAACGCGATGGTCGTCTGCTACTTATTTGCCACCTTGTGATGCGATGATAAATTCCGCACTTAGATCATTTTGCAGACGTCCATTTTCCATTATGCATGTCATTATCTTCACATACCTTCTCATGCATAGTGGATTGTCATCATAAGGTGAAGTGGATCTCCACAAGCACAACCTGCCATGTGCATTTGCATTCCAAAAACAAATTACTTATATGCACATCTTCAGGGGGAGCCCTTACAACTTATGAAGACAATTCCTTATCCTTTACAATTTCACATATTATATTCCCCGTTGAAAACTTCAACTAGTTTGTCATCAATCACCAAAAAGGGGGAGATTGTATGTGCATCTAGTGCCACCCCTAGTTGGTTTTGGAGTATTGACGACAAACCTAGTTGAGGGACTAATGTGTTTGTGAGAATTGCAGGATAACACAGGTAGAAGTCCCTCATTGATTCGGTTTTCCTACCAGAGATGACCCCTAAAAATGTATGAAGACATTGATGTCAAAGGTGGTATATGAAGATATTCACATTGAAGACTATGACAAGAGAAGACACCGCATGAAGCCTATGGAGCTCAAAGACTTAGATCTTTCGTAGTTCTTTTTTCTTCTGTGTTGAGTCATAGGAACCACCATACTATTAAGTGGGGTCCAAGAGAACCAGTCAGAATGACTGAAGTGATGCTTAAACATAACCTATGTCTTCGAGTGAAGACTATGAGAGCAAATCTTGTCCAGAGTCGGACAAGTCAGCTTTGCTTGTAGCCCAAGTAAAGTTACCGTGTGAGTTTGAAATCTGACCGTTGGAACACGTGTCAGTTCCTTAGTGACCCAGGGTCATTTCAGACAAATCAGGTCAGGTTGCCTAGTGGCTATAAATAGCCCACCCCCTACGACCATAAATGGGTGGCTGCTCAGATTCAGAGTACGGCTTTTATCGTTTGAGAGCAACCCACCTCGAAGCCTTTGAGAGAGAATTCCTTGCGAGGATAAAGCCCTAACCACCTAGAGCCAAAGAGAATTAGGCATCACTTATGTCTTCTTGTCTGTGTGATCTGAAGACTTATTACACTTGAGGACTGTGCATCCTCCAGCCGGTTAGGGGTCGCGTTCTGAGCATCCAAGAGACATTGTGGATCGCCGGTGAACGAAGTCTGTGAAGGTTTGGGAGTCTACCTTGAAGACTTACCAAAGTGATTGGGCGAGGTCTGTGTGACCTTAGCTCAAGGGGAATACGGTGAGGACTGGGTGTCCTGAGCTGCGTGTTCAGGACTGGGTGTTCGGGATTGTGTGTCCTCAGGTTTAAATACCTAGCCGCCCTAACCAGACGTACAGTTGTCACAACAACTGGAACTGGTCCAACACATCATTGTCTTCAACGAGTCACTGGTTTCATCCTTCCCTTCTCTTTACATACTGTTACTCCTTGTGAAGTCATTGTATGATTGCACTATCTTTTATCTTCACTGAGTGACTGATTGTTCTGTTTGGCTTCATAATATCTTCCTACCTGATCCTTACTACATTGCAGCTATTTGTCATTGTGCTTTCACTTTATTGAATACTTGACTATGGCTTGCTTAGTGTAGTCTACCTTCCGCTGCAGGGTAATAGGTTTATTTCTACTGTTTATCTTCATAACTTCCATGTTTTGAAGACTTTCATAAAAATCGCCTATTCACCCCCCTCTAGTCGATATAACGCACTTTCAGTTCGGATCAGGGGTCTGCCCCCTCTATGGTGGTGGCTAACCTATACTTATAGTGGCCTCGGTCCTCTTCCCCCAAAATGTAGGCGAGAAGGGATCCCACAGTGGCCAATTTGAACGGGGACATGTAGTGCATCTTATCCTGACAAAAGATGGTCTTCGCCTGCAAAGATTCTGGTCGTGATGCTGCGGTGGGCTCGGTGATGACATCCGTACTGTTGGTCTTGGTCTCGTTGTACTGGAATGAAAACCTTTGCCTGATTCCTCGGGAACCCACGCCCGCGCTTGCCTCCTTAGCACCAAAAAGGAAACTGTCTTCTCTGCGTCCGCTGGTGCCCACCTGGCCTTGGTCGTCATGGCTTGCGTCACCGCAACCTCATGAGGTTGGGCACCTGCATAGGAATCTCCGCTCCTCAGGAGCAGCTCGGGGAGGCCGCTCCCTCAGGAGGTCTCGGCGTTGTCCCCCTCGCGAGGCTTGGCCTGTCGCGAGGGTCTTTGTCTTAATAGTCTTGTAGATGGGCCGTACAAGGTCGTCGAGGGAGCCACGCCATGGGCCGCAGGCAGACAAGTCTGGGTACACTGGTTCTCAAAACGCCGACACCTCGCTTGCACCGCTTCCTTCTCCCTTCGGCTGGGTTTGCCTAAGGTACGAGCGCGGGTGCTCATGCCGTTGGTTGTACTCCCCTTTGGCACGTGTATATTTTTTTTGCAATCGAATAATAGGCTCTAGGTCCAGTATGAGCATGGATGCTCATACCGTGGGTCGTATCTCGTTTGGCCTATAGTAACAAGAGGTCTCATTTTTCGAGATGACGCATGGTACCACTGTGGGTGGTCGTATCCTCGCTCGTACCAGCTGTAAATAAATATTTATCAAATCCTGGTCATGATTACCTAGCTAGATAAAATATAGGTTTCTATTTGGTAAGAAATTATTTTACTTATTAAAGATAACATAATTTTATTTGGTAAGTCAATGAAAGGTTGGACGAAACACTCCGTGTGACAGTAAAACGACACACTATATATATTTTTTGAGCTGGACACCAAAATTCCCATCAAAACGAGGCCTTGCCACGGCAATTATGCAGGTCTAACCACCACCCGTGCACTCTTAACTGGAGTAGCGCAACGACTCGGTGCTGACATTCCATTTCTATACATGTTCCACGACCATGTGTGTGACAGGGGATATCCCATGCCACACCGTTGGCCATGGCGTGGCATGGAGCACACGCACACGCTCCCTTTTTGACTTCTTTTAACCTCAGCACACAACTAACAAAAACCCAGAAATAAAATAGACCAAACACCGAAACAAAGAAAAACACCCCCCTTAATCATACCCCCTACACCGCAGCCTCCTCCCCACCCACTCACCGCCACGCGGACCCGACCGGGCGCCGGCCCCGGCCGTCAGTGGGTGGCGCTGGTATCGGGCAGGTCGCTGCCACCGGATCTTAATCAAATCGAATGGGAATTTTGACGTCCGCAAGGACGGAGTCTCGGCATTTTCCTCTTCCCCCTCTCTCCTCTCTCTCTCTGCTGTTTCGCTCCGCTTTCTCTCTCCTTCCTCGCTTCGCCTCCTCCCTTCTCCACAGAGAGGCCGAATCCCGTCGCCCGCGCACGGGGACAGGAGGGAAAGATCTTTTCTACGAACCGGTTTTCTTCCCCGGCGCGGCGGCGGACTGTACCCTAGCCGGAGCGGAGCTGCTCCGGCGCGGCGGGGGCGGGGCTGGTAGTGGCGGCGAGCGCGTTGCCGGCGGCCGAGGGTTCCTACGGGCCGCGCCGCGCCGCGCGATTTAGCGCGAGTCGGCCTTCGGATCGTTGGATCGCTGGCGGGCCGGAGCTGCGCACTGGAGCTGGCTGGTGGCTTCGTGGCGGTGAGTGCGCTTGTTTGAGTATTTTATTCTGTCCGAGCAAGCCGCCTACGGCCTCCGGCTTCCATTACTCGAAGCCATAGAGTAGCAATTCAGCGAGAACAAAGTTGCAGATGTAGTAGATAAATAATCCGACAGCATAAACACGTACCGAAGATTTACAGCTGACAAGCAGAACAGAGTGAAATGTGGAAATCAGCTTTCAGGGAGTTTATTTATCGAAGCAGCAACATTATGGAGCTTGCTGTGCAGTTAATCACTGAACTGGTCACCATCCCCTCTAAAGAGGTCCAGACTTCAGTTGAGTTGCTCCAGCAGTTATATAGCCCAACATGATGACCAGTAACAAATCAGAGACATGACAATATTGGGATCAGATGGTAATCTGTGTCGAAAACAAGAATTGCTTCATGTCCTTAGAATTGTCCGCACAACTGCAGCCATGTCTACCGTTTATAGTTTTTCTTTTCCTACCTTGTGGAAATAATTGTTCCAGAAGTCAATTGAGTTAGGTACATAATGTAAATCATATGTGCATTGTATAACTCTCCAGATAAACTTTGCAATTGTGCATGCAACGACTAAGTGTTTAAATGTGTCAAGTTTTCACAGAATTGATATCTTGTGCCTTCGTGCTACCGTCTGTTAGTCAGGCCTTCGTCACAGAATGCTTTTATTAGAAAAATTACCACAAAAGGTTCCTGTTTTTTTTTTTTTTTGAAACTGAAAAAGGTCCTGATCTTTAGAAGGCGTACTGGTCTACATCCATGCATGTGTCCTAAAGTTGCAATCTCTGTCTGGTTGTTTACAGGGAATGCTGGCCTAATCCTGCTCAATTTTGGTGGATCTTGTGGGTATGCTGGTCTGAAAGGATGGTGAATTGAGTGGTGACATAACTCGACCTTGGAGTGGTTTGCAGAGCTTGGAGCTCTCCGATTGCCCGCAAAGGATGGTTTCCTCAGGTCCCCCGAACCCAATGGGACCTGGGCAGCCAATGGGTGCTGCTTCTCTTCTCCGGACGAATTCCAGCCTGCTCAGTGGTGGCCAGCAGGGAATGGGTAGCGGCGGCATGCTTCAGTCACAGTCCCCATTCTCATCTCTTGTTTCCCCGCGCACACAGTTTGGTGGGAATGGCCTGCTTGGAGGGTCCTCGAATGTCTCCCCCCTGCTCAACAGGCAGTCCTTTGGAAATGGGGGGGCTGTGCCGGGTCCAGGGCAAATGGCTAATGGCGGGCTTCCGATGAATACACTTCAGCAAAGAGGGGGGCTTGATGGTGCTGGTGACTTGATTGGCATGGGTGGATCTGATCCTATGTCATCCTCCCAGGTTAGTTTGGGCAATCACCTAGGTTCAGATAACTTGCAGCAGCAGCAGCAGAAGATGGATATGCAGGATTTGCAACAGCAGCAGCAGCAGCACCACCACCAACTACCGATGTCTTACAATCAGCAGCAAGTGCCAACGCAACCGCTGCAGCTGCATGCTACAGTGAAGATGGAGAATGGCGGCAGCATAGGTGGAGTCAAATTAGAACAGCAGATGGGACAGCTTGACCAAAATGGCCCAGCCCAGATGATGCGCAATGCTGGCAATGTAAAATTTGAGCCACATCAGTTGCAATCATTGAGGGGTTTGGGTGCGGTGAAGATGGAGCAACCGAATTCAGATCCATCAGCATTCTTGCAGCAACAGCAGCAGCAGCAGCAGCACCATTTGTTACAGCTCACGAAGCAGAACCCTCAAGCTGCTGCGGCGGCCCAACTGAACCTTTTGCAACAACAGCGTATCATGCATATGCAGCAGCAGCAACAACAACAGATTCTGAAGAACCTTCCTTTACAGAGAAATCAATTACAGCAGCAGCAGCAGCAACAACAACAGCAGCAACAACATCAACATCATCAGCAGCAGTTACTTCGTCAACAAAGTCTAAACATAAGGACTCCAGGAAAGCCGGCTTCCTATGAGCCAGGTACCTGTGCAAAGAGACTGACCCATTACATGTATCATCAACAAAACAGGCCACAGGTATGTTCTTTTTGTTTGTTTAAAAACGTGCAGTTTTATGCTCCAAGCAAAAGCCATGTTCTTACAACTTAGGGCATCTACTTATTCCTGTTGATGTAGGATAATAATATTGAGTACTGGAGAAACTTTGTCAACGAGTATTTCGCGCCCACTGCCAAAAAGAGGTGGTGTGTATCTCTCTATGGAACTGGTCGTCAAACTACTGGAGTTTTCCCTCAGGTTTACTATTGCTGTCCTCATCGAATCCGTACCTTTCCCCCCTTCCGTTTCCATATATTTGATTTATGCAAGTAAACTCTTCTGTTAGTTAGTTGGAGGATTTGGAGTATCACATAGTGTTTATAGTATACTTTTGCCTCTCAAATTATTATTTATAACTTCCCATGTATGTTTGCACCTGCAGGATGTCTGGCACTGTGAAATATGCAATCGGAAGCCTGGCCGGGGCTTTGGTAAGCATCATTTTTATTTGTACATCTTCCTCACCTACTCGTGTTTCTAGTTTGATTTTATGTTGTCAACTTTACAGAGACAACAGTTGAGGTCTTACCGCGATTATGCCAAATCAAATATGCGAGTGGGACATTGGAAGAACTATTGTATATTGATATGCCACGTGAATCCAAAAATGCATCTGGTCAGATTGTTTTGGACTATACTAAAGCAATCCAGGAAAGTGTCTTTGAGCAATTGCGTGTTGTACGCGAGGGGCATCTAAGGATAATTTTTAATCCAGACCTCAAGGTATTGCAACTCAGTTCTATACTTTGTTTTTCTTGTCATTTATTCATCATTATGGTGGTTCTCCTATATTGTTGTTGAATAAGTGGTGGCTTTTGGACTAACATATTTCACTTGTACTTTTGCTTGTATTGAAGATTGCATCTTGGGAGTTCTGTGCTAGGCGTCATGAGGAACTTATCCCACGGAGGTCAATAATACCACAGGTATTAAGATTTATTAGATTGCGTTTGGGATTGTGGTGGATTATGATAATCCAGCTTACCCGACCAGCTTTTGTTTATTTTAGTGTTTGTTTGGTTCATTTTTGCGCACTTTTATGGCTGTTTTTCCACACCAGATTATAAAATAAGCACAGCACAGTTCAGCAATTGGAGACTAAGCCTTAATGTATAGAGTTAGACATGGTTTCATTTACAGCCATGGATCTTGTCTGTATACTAGATTTGGTAATGAAGGTTTGATCTATGTTTGCACCTTGATGTTTAATGCAGGTTAGTCAGCTTGGCGCAGTTGTACAAAAGTACCAGGCTGCTGCTCAAAATCCAACGAGTTTAACAACTCAGGACATGCAGAATAATTGCAATTCGTAAGGAGATTGGCCCTGCTGTGCATAATACTTTCCTTCTTACGTTCTTTTCTAGAGTCAAATTTACATATTCTCTTAATGTGTAGCTGTAGATGTATTGGCCACCATGGCGAGTTGGGAGCCAATACATATACATGTGATACCTCATTCTAGCCATCCAAAGTTTTATGGCTATTGTAGTTGATTTGGTTTTAGCATATGGCCTTCTGTGACCAAACCATACCAACTGAGTTTACCATCCTAGACAAAGCATGGATGAAAATGTTCTGGGAAGCTGGTCTCTGGGACCTAAGGACTTGCATTGTCAGAGAATCGTCCTTGTTGAGTGGAACATGTCTGGTTAGGTGGGCTTGAGTGAGCTTGCCCATTGCCTGGTTTGCCTTGCAAAAACATAAGTTGGCAATTCGCCATGATTCAAGAAGCAATTGTTTCAAAAGGGAAGGCAACTATTGCGTACCTACATGTTTATAACTAGGCGCGACAATCATCCAGATGGTCTCCAAGTCCACATCATCTAATCCTTCCAAATGTCACCCAGTTGTCCATGTCTCGAGCTTGCATAATATCATTAACACTAGATGGCTTCAGATGTGCCCTGCTGCACATATCTTATTCTTTTGATGTTGCTCATAGCTAGTCAGTTAATTGAGAATTTGAGGCTGGGGTAAATAAAGTATCTGCTTGCGGGGCTGTCCTGCAATTATGAGATCTTTCTGACTCTTTTGTTGCTTATGCTGTGGCCGCATTGTTATCCTGCTAGGGGAGTATATGGTCTCATTGGGAGTATATGGTCTCATTGACATAAACTTCAATATATAATTTCATAGGAACTTTCTGTGAGCTCTTGTGATTTATGAATAGGGCCTTAGCAAGCTGGCCTTCTGCCTCATTTTGCTATGAAAAAGGAAGTGAGCTTCAGGTTGTTTGCGTGCTTGCCATCTTTGTTTCATGCCAATCGGCCAGTGAGCTAGGCCTATGGAGTTCACTTGCCATGTACACATGTGCCTCATCTGGCTGCAAATGGGCAAAAAAGTGAAAGGCAGGAATAAAATGGCTGATTATTATGATGATTTTCCATATTAGATAATTTCTTCAGGTTAATATCTATCTTTAGGCTTATAAATAATTTCTGCCCTCTATGTTGTTATACCTCTACATAAAGAGGCCAGTTTTCTCACTTCATTTATCAAGGAAAACTTCCTTATTCTATGTAATGGAGGCACCATAGCATAGTTTTTCATTGACGTGAGGATGGTTGCCTAGGGTTTAAACCATGACCACCACCACAGCTCAAGGATGGATTTTCATCTTCATGTGGACCCCCAGTCCAACACATAACCAGAAAATCAGTGCATATGGTAGAAACATGATACTTCCTCTGTCCCATATTACTTGACGCTTAAACGGATGTATCTAGATGTATTTCAGTGCTAGATACATCCGTTTGAGCGTCAAGTAATATGGGATGGAGGGAGTATTAGGGATTATCATGATTACTAACTATATTTGATATTTCTTTGGAGTTAGTTGCTATCTGCCATTATTCTCATTTTGAGCAGTCAACAAGTAAAACAAAGAACCCGTGAAAAAGGGTAAGCCAAAGGGGAAATACATCTGCCTTGTGACCATGAGGTCACGGGTTCAAGTCCTGGAAACAGCCTCTTACAGAAATGTAGGGAAAGGCTGCGTACAATAGACCCAAAGTGGTCGGACCCTTCCCCAGACCCTGCGCAAGCGGGAGCTACATGCACTGGGGCTGCCCTGCCCAAAGGGGAAATACCACGGTATCCACGCGGACGGGATCACATGATTGCAGAGACTGACATGTTGCCAGTTGGTTAGAGTATATGATGCATATTCCATTTTAATTGATTTCCAAAAACACAATACTGTCAGATGTACCTTTAATGCACTTGGCACATGTGCATTAGATGTATTTTTGAATTCCCTGCCACCAAACAATAAACACATGCCAAGATCACAAATAAGTATTCACCATTCAAGTAATTTTTTATGGCTTATTCAGTTTTAAAATTTAATTTGTTTCATAGATTTTGGAATTTGTATTTTTGTAAATTTTTGAAGTGGAAGTTTTTATAGCTTTCCACAAATCTAAGAGATTCAAAAAGGATTATAGGTGTTTCAGTTACATAGTACGTTTGTATGTTATGTAGTATTAAATCGAAATAGTCTTCCACAATTATATTTAATTCTGAAATTTGCTGATGTGCATGGTTGGATATTTGGATTTTTTCTCCCAAATTATATAATCTTTTGATATTTCACGAAGTTCTATGTACTTCTACTAACAATACAATATAAAAAAAAGACAAATACAAAACCACTATATTTTCACGTTTCACAGTTCCACCACATAAACTCAAATGTGACTCGATCAGTTTCATACTCAGGATTATCTTCAATATAGAATGATTATCACTTGAATGCCAATGGAATTATATAGTTCAGACTCACCCAATTCGAAGTCAAATTCTATGTTTCTGACCGTTACTAGTACAAGCAATAAGACCGACATTTTTAGCCACACTAAATTTTAACTCACTCGGCATCATCATTAATACTCCCTCCGTCCGAAAATACTTGACATCAAAAAGAATAAAAAGGGATGTATCTAGATGTATTTTAGTTCTAGATACATCCCTTTTCATCCATTTTGATGACAAGTATTTCCGGACGGAGTACTAATAATTGAAAGATGAGAAAGAGGGATTGGTTCTTTATATCCTGTACATGTCACTTGTATTAAGTTCAGTAGTTCTGCAGTATTTACTCAAAGCAGAAAAGATCCAATCCCTAGACATGCAGGGCCGTCCAGATATCATGGTCGCGTCCAGAATGGGCACCAAGTGCTTTCTCTAGACCAAAGTTCTTATTCTACACCCTCTAGCCCTTGCAATGCAGCTGCTTCAGTGGCATTGTTGTGCTGCCTGGGGCCAGGGTCCACAAGGCCACATTACAAGCCTAAAAGTTTGCCCCCCTCCTACACGTCAGCTGCCAACATCTTGAAACCTTGGTAGGAAAATAATTAGCAAGACATTCCATACAAGGTCCTCTGCAGAAGATAGTGATCCCTGACTAAGTATAGTGAGTAGTTGATCTGCAACGTTTGTGTGGAAGACATGTTTATTTCATACCTAAAAAAGGAATTCTTTTGACTAGGTGTGACCAATAAGGACGTTACCATTTGAGCATTCTAAATATGGCGTTTAGTCCGAGTCGATCCATCATGTTAGAAAGCAGTAGGTCATTGTACAGTAGACAGGTCATAGTCATGAGTACATATGTTTGAAATCAACTAGCAAGATGCCCGTGCATTGCACGGAACATCAAGACGCACTTTTTTTTTACAAAACACCTGTTGTGATTGACCCATGCGGGAGTAATCCCATGTGTAAAAACTAATGATATCTCGAGAAAGAGGAGAGATAAGGTGAGGAGGAGTGGGGCGTGGTGGTGATTGATGGTCGGACTGAGCGGAGGCATGGGGATGGACGATGCCGGCAGCGGCCACCATGCCAGATTGTTCCGAAGGCTTCCTTTTTTAATTGCTCAACAATGAGGTTGTGGGAGATAAGGATGAACGAGGGAAGGCCTTATCTGCAAATGTGGAGAGAGGTGCGGGTATCTTTTTGCAAAATTGCCATAGTTTGCTTTCTATCCGTCAGATATAGATCGGACGGTCTATATTGCAACATGGCAGGCACACCATCATCACCAACTTGGTTTTTTATAAAAAATTAGAGACATATTGTCTGTCATGTATTCGGCTTATTACATATGTCATTTAACTCATAAAAGGAGATTCTCTGTGAAAAGAAATATAGTTGAAACTACATCGGAATGAGCTGCGCTAAAATAACATGCAGAAATATAATGTGCGCATATCTTTCCATTCCACTGTAATGTGTGGAGGACAATGGGTGATGTGAATCAAGTAATTGACATTGATGGTTTTGCCATATTTTTGGCTAATTGCTATAGTTGAGTTTCATGCACCAACCAGTCCTGTTTGGCAATACATGCAGTAAATTTACGTCAAGGCGAATCCTCGTCCCTAAGATGTGGATTAGAATTGTGAGGTTCTGTTAGGACACAAGCTCAGGTCAATCGTCTTGCAAAATGTGCTAACATTGCGAGTGCATGCCTATTCTAATCCTACCAGCACCACTCCTTTAATAATAAAATGAGCATGTAGAGTCTCTGTCTCAGGACCTCTTGCTCTGATGCAATTCTTTCATGCGCCAACGAACACCATTAAGAGCTTATGCTGCCAGGCAAGGTGAATAATTTAGACTCCATGTTTGTGCACTTATTACCTAACAAGGCAATCTCATCTTAGCATGATTGTTTATCTCTTACTCCCTCCGTCTGGAAATACTTGTCCTAAAAATGGATAAAATGGATGTATCTATAACTAAAATAAGTCTAGATACAACTATTTTTAGGACAAGTATTTCCGGACGGAGGGAGTACTAGATAATTTGACTCTGCGTTCCAACGGGGGCACAAATCTTCTGTATGCAATCACTGCGATTTACGTGCCATTTTATTGTTAAATGTGGTTACGTACCAAAAAAGGACTTTAGTTGCCAATTGGATCAGTAATTCAGTACTTATTGGCTTACCCAAGAAACATGATTTTATTTGGTAAGTCGATAAGACGTGGAGCAGTTGAGGCGGTTTTCAAGGGAAACTGGTTGGAGAAACCAGCAAAACTGGAAATGTCGGAGGTGGGGTCGGGAGGGTGAGTGCGGACAAAAAAAGGAACGTAACACATAACCATACATACTTATTAAGTACGGGAGAGAGATATGTTGATTAGCTGGAACGGACTGAAATGAGTACTTGCTGATTAATGCAATGGAGATGGGATTTAGCTGAATATCTCGATGGTTCTCAGACTGTAGAACAGGTATATAGAGAAATGCAGTTGCCTAAGAAATGATTTTCATTTTAGCTGAGTAGATGCAAGGCACTGGATATTATACTGTGTTATGGAAACCCTGGTTGTTCGATGAGAAAAATCTTGGAGGGCCAGAGCTTTGCCCGATCTAACTGGGTTCAGCCAATGACACAAAGCTACAAAAATTCAGGAGGAATAGGATTCCAGCAATAGACATTCTAGTTTCGTGATGGAACTGTATGGTGCTAGCCTGTCCACCCTTGGTTTTGTCCTGTGCCAAAAGGACATGTTAAGTTTTATTTATGCGTGTTAACTAAGTCCAACCAGTGAGCCTAATTGGAGAGTCCGCAACAGAGCCACTGGTTAGAATAGCGGACAGGTGAATTGGAATCTTCACTGGGTAAACCGGTCTGGTTTCAGTAACTATGATATCGTGTGGCGGAGTAAGCTCAAGAAGATGCTTCACATGTATTTTGTTAGCAATTAGCAACATACTATTTTGTGTTACGTTTCCAATCTACAATCGGTTGGCAACAGCCGACCATATATTGATGTTCAAGAAACACCAAAAGTTATAAAAATATAGAAGCCTGATATGAACAATGGGTGCTTGTGCTGAACTTCTTTGCTCTGACTTCAAGAACATTATGTTTTGCTTCCCTTTTTACAACTCTCTCTCTGCAAGAACTTATTATAGTTAACAAGTATTGATAGTTAACAGTGTATGCTGTTTCAGGGTTGCATGTTATTCACAACGTTCTTAGTTTGCGTGCTGACTGTTTTTTTAGTAACTCTCACCATTCACCAACTCAATGTTTCTTTTAGTAACTACTAGTATTTTTTTAGTCCATGCAATCCGTACTTATGTGTTAATCCTGTTTCATTAGGTTTGTTGCATGTGCCCGCCAACTGGCTAAAGCTCTGGAGGTGCCTTTGGTAAATGATTTAGGATACACAAAACGATATGTCCGCTGCCTTCAGGTATACTATGGTCTGATATAGTTTCCATCCACCTGTTATAATTTTAAGCTCCCATTAGTTTTAGTTATTGTTAGAATTTTTGTGATTGTTTAGGTTTTGTAGGTATGATTGAAGTTGATTTTTGTTTCTACTAATTTCATGTGGTCCATTGATATTCCCAGATTGCAGAGGTGGTAAACTGTATGAAAGATTTGATTGACCACAGCAAGCAGACTGGATCTGGACCAATCGGTATGACATTTTAATCTTTCCCTTGTGGGGATGGCTGGGAACTATCTGGTTTCTGTGAATTTTCTGTAATTCTCGGTCACAAAGAACAGTAGCCTTGTTGGGGTGCTATTTGCTGTTTTATGTGATTTGTTTATCTGTAACACCCACAGTTATTTCTATTTCAGATAGCCTGCATAAATTTCCTCGGAGGACTCCATCAGGGATCAACCCTCTTCAACCACAGCAGCAACAACCTGAAGAACAGCAATCTGTTCCGCAGAGTTCAAACCAGAGTGGTCAAAATTCTGCCCCTATGGCTGGGGCGCAGGCTTCTGCCTCTGCCAATGCAGATGTGACATCAAATAATTCTCTCAGTTGTGCACCCTCTACATCTGCACCTTCACCAACTGTTATGGGGATTCTTCAGGGTTCAATTGATTCTAGCCAAGATCATCTAATGAGCAGTGCAAATGGTCAGTATAACAGTGGGAATAATGGTGCAATTCCCAAGGTGAACCCGGCAAGTTCATTACAGTCAAATCCTTCTACCTCTTTCCCTTCCCAGGTACCTATATCATCCAATAACAACATGATGCCTGCCCTTCAGAATACAAACCAACTCAGTTCCCCAGCAGTATCATCAAACTTGCCGCCAATGCAGCCTCCTGCAACTCGATCTCAGGAGCCTGAGCAAAGTGATGCCCAAAGCTCGGTTGAGAGAATCTTGCAAGAGATGATGTCATCACAAATGAATGGTGTTGGCCATGCAGGGAATGACATGAAGAGACCAAACGGATTTACTCCTGGTATTAATGGGGTTAACTGCTTAGTTGGTAATGCTGTCACAAATCACTCTGGAGTCGGAGGAATGGGGTTGGGGGCCATGGGTGGGTTCGGTTCAAATCCTACAGCTAATGGATTGAGAATGGCAGTGACGAACAATGCAATGGCAATGAACGGGAGGATGGGAATGCATCAAAGCGCACATGACCTATCACAGTTGGGCCAGCAGCAGCAGCAACAACAGCAGCAGCAGCAGCATGACATAGGAAATCAGCTGTTGGGTGGACTTAGAGCAGGAAATAGCTTCAATAATCTTCAGTATGATTGGAAACCCTCTCAATAGCGTGACTGGAAACACTCAAGTTCAATATGATGATGACGCAGCTGTTCTCACTGGGCTCATCGCTTATGGACCATCAGCATCAGCGCCATAAACCCCCCTTGGGCCAAAAGCATATGGGCTTTGCTCTAATGGTGCCATAGAAAGGAATCATAAGCAATGGCAAGCACTGAGCTGGTCACTGTTACGGTGCATCAGTTTGTTTAGCTGGTTCGCTGTGTATTATGCAACTATGACACTGAGCTACCTGCCTTGGTTATCTTACCGAAAGAAAAGCGGGTTAGAATCTGCCTGCATGGGTAGTCGTCGGTACTGGTGTATGGTGTTATTTCTCACCTGAAAAGAAGTTTTTCCTCTCTTTTTTCTCTCTTTGACGGATGACATCCAATCTGTAACTTATCGTCGCCCCTTGCTGTAGCAATCATATGTGCTGATCTCTCTTTGCTTGAGAATTTTCCCTTTGTAGCCTTACTATACTCTGTGTAAGTTGCCATATTGACTGACTAGTGAAAAAGTATCATCAATGTTTGGGAGATCTGACGGGAGTTTGAAGTCTTTTCCCCTAGCGGCGGCTAGGGTTTTCATGTCCTCCCTGGCGATCTCATCGCGAGAGAGTTTCTACCCAATATTCTCGCCTCCCCTACGTAGGGTTCCCCTTACGCATCGAAGGAAATCTCCCCCAGGCTTGCTGCGATGGGACCGGCGGTGGACGCACAGTCAGGTACGAGCGGCGGCAGCAGTGCCGCCATGAGATCCGATCTTGATGAATTCATGGAGCAGTTGAATCTAGAGGATGAAGTCTTTGATGATCTGGTAATCGATGAGAACGACCAGGAGATCAATGAGAGCGTCAGATGGCTAGCCCTAGCTAGGGTTCATATGGACAAAACCTTCAGCCCGACGACCTTCTATAAGGAGATGCGGGCGGCATGGAATCCAGCACAACATGTGAATTTTCGCCCGGTTGGCCCGAACTTGTTCGTTGTTCAGGCTGCGTGCCTCGGCGATTGGGAACGGATGATCGAACAAGGCCCATGGCTATTTAGGAACTTCTTGGTGCTGATGTGCCCCTATGATGGTTTTACGAAGGCAGAGGAGGTGCCTATGGTGTATATGCCTGTTTGGCTCTAGATTCATAAACTTCCGGAAGGTTTCTGTAAGAAGGGCATTGTGGAACATCTGCTTAGGAACTCTGGGAAGATTTTGGAGATGAGGTTAAACGGGAACACACGCGGGGACTATGTGAGAATCAGGGTACGCCATGATGTGCGTCAGCCTCTCACCAAGTTCGTCAGTATTGTAAGAGGTAAAGAGCGTGAGGTTTTCCTAGTGCGTTATGAGAAGCTTGCTTGTTTCTGCAGTGTATGTGGCATCATAGGCCATGAGTTCAAGGAGTGTGGGAACGGGATCCATGAGGAGAAAAACAAGAAGTTTGGCGCGTGGCTATATGCTGATGGCCCTAATAAGCCACAGCCGGAAAGTGGTAATCGGGGGAGCGAGCAGAAGCCTGACTATACCCCAAGCCGTGTGAACAAGCTACCTAAGCAGGTGGACCCTGAAACGTTGGATACAGCTACAAGCCCGTCGAAGGCCACACACACACTTATGCAAGTCGATCCATCTGTGCGGAAGCGACTGGCAATGGATGAGGCGGGGATAGGTGACAGGTCTGGAGGTTCCATGGTTCCTCCTGGTATCCTCACGCTGACCCTTGGGAAGGGGGAAGAGGGTGATGATGTACAATCACCAACTAGCAGCTCCGACAGCAAGCGTGCAAAAACTGTCTC